TCCATTCTCCTCTTTTGGGAATTCCTAACAAGCAGGTGGTGAATATCCATTTAAATTTATGAAAATTATATGTCATATAAGATTATTTGTGTTAGAGGATTGACATGGAAAACCAACTAATTTGTAGTATTTAGTTTGGGGTCTGATAAAAGACAGAGAGATTTGCATAATTACGCGAAACTGTTGAAGGGATTTGCGTAAGCATTATGTTATTCGATATGGTGTCGTGGGATTTTTGGATTTCTTTTTTTGTATGAATGAAGAAAAGGTAAATGGAAACAGGTTCAGTCAACTAAATGACGGCTCAATCGATTGGCGTTTAAGTGATAAAATATTGATTGAATGATAGCTGAAAGTTTGCCCGAAAGTGCATGAAGTTCGTTTGGAAATTGTAGAAGAAAGTTTGGTACGCTTAAAGTCATAGGAAATTACTACATAGTCCGCCTAAAGTTTGAGCTGAAACCTAAGTATTATCACTAGAAAAATCCACCTTTAAAAACTGTTTTCCAGCCCTCTCCTGAAACCCTTTTATTAACATAACAAATTCTCACATATTTTCGGTTGCTTTTAATGTAGAAAAAAAAAACGAACAGCCCGAAAAAATATGCATAATTATGCGAGAAAAACTGAATTTACTTCCTGGTTCGAATGTGTGGCTCCCCTGCCCTACCCCGCGGCGCACTCACGCAAGGCATTGCATTACAGCAGCCGGCGCAACAATAGGAACAACTGAGCACAGACAAATAGCAACAATATCACGCACTCGTCATTAGGCAGTGCCACAAGCTGCAACGGCAGCAGTTAGAAGAGAGCTGCCACAAGTTTCAGCTGCAGTTTAGAGAGCTGCCACAACAGTAGACACCCTCCACCGATCGTCCAGACAGAAATGCAACACGTGCTGTGCATAAATAATAATGAAAAACGGTACGAAAAGAAGGGGGAGAAGTTGGTTGGTTTTTCCCAAAGTTTTCCAGGGAATGAGGGAAACGGTCGAGGAGAAGTTCTGTCATTGACCCTTTCTACTGACACGAGAAATTAGTAAAGATTATGCACGCTTCGGTGGAGGTGGAGCTGGAGCTGGAGAAGTTTCAGTAGAAGACAGAGACAGTCGTTTGTTGGGAGATTAGAAGTGAAAGAATCCACAGTGTAGCGCCCGAACCAAGCGAAAAAACCACTTGTTGCCGCTGCTGTCAGAAATGTTTCTTCATTTCTGCCTCTTTTGCATAATATGTGCGATAATCTTCACACTGACACAGATATTTCCACGGAATTTCAGCTTATTTTTTATTGGAGATGGAGATGGAGATGGACTTTTGCAAGCGGATGTTTGCCACATTTTGTAAATAATTTAGCAGACAAGCCAGAGAGTTTGTTTCGCTTTGAAGTTTGTTTGAAAATTTCACAAAATTAAAAGTCATTAAACTTGCATTTCAATTTATTGATATATATTTTGGCAAAATCGAGTTATAGTTCATTAACATTTTCAATTGCTCGGGCAGCTGCCAAAAATCAAGAGTGAATAAGCCAAAATTCAGTTAAAATTAATTTTTATTCGATAAACGAGAGCGAAAACATTTCTTTTCTCCGAGAATTTTGTCAGCCAAGGTTGCAGCTGGCTTTCAGGTGTGGAAAGAAGACTCACCAAATTTCCTGAGATACTCTGACCCATATCTGCCTGTTACATTCGGATTCCACTCTAAATATATAGGTAGCATCTACAAAATGTCTATCTAATATTAGATTTCACCCACTTACGGTGCGGCATGCACTTTAGTTTTTGCCTTCGAAGCACAAACATCTTCCGCATAGCACTCGAATCGTTCTTTTGCTGATTTTCTTTCTTTCGGTTTCTGTTTTCCAAGCTGTCTAAATATTTTCGTTTTGTTTTAGATTGTTTTTTTTTTACCTCAAGTTAATTGCATTAGGTAAAATTTCGGTGAAATGATTCATTCTGGCATATTTATTTGACAAAAGTAGAGCAATCTTCGATCGGCATTATAGAGAGCCTATGCGGCGGCTATTTTTGGGGGAAAACATTCATAACCCCAGAAGTTGAGTTCCGAGGCAGAACCAAAATGAATCTTGACATTAATGATGCTGTTAATCGGGCAACAAACAGACAGACAGTCGTACTCGTTCTCGTTTCAGAAAAAAAGGTGACACATTTTTACTGCTAGGGAGAGAGGGTGGATCTTGGCAACGCCTTCACCTGAGTTGATTTTTTTTCTTCATTAGTTTTATCTATAGTACTTTTCAGTCTTAATTAGAGCGCCTAACAGTTCATTGACTTTACCCTTCGCTCCACTCACTACTAATACACTTTTAATGATCGTAAATACAAACAAAATCTAAAGGGAAAAAATCAATTTAATTTCAATTTTGTGTTTACTTAATTGAGATTTGTGCCCTAGGGAATCCTACGCTACACTCCGCCCTACATCATATCACGCCTTCGATGTAAAGTTCTGCGCTCTCTCTTTAAACCCAACCCACCCCTTTCCTCCACTTGCCTGTAGCTCTCTTAAGTTCTTTCGGCTGCTCTCTTACGTCCAGAGGGAGGGAGCTTCTTGTGTGTAAAGCTTTTGGATCCGCATCGCATTGGGATCGAACTGTGTGCCGCCACACACAGTTTTTCCTTTACTTTCAGTCAAGAAAAAGCCCGTGCCCGTGTCGGTTTGAATCGTTCGTTTCGAAAGCGGCCTCGTATGGGATCGCAGAACGGATTTTATCTGAGTTATAGTAGCTATAGCCATCGCACACATAATTCCCGTACTGTTTCTTACACATCCGTTTTATTTATAAGTTTTTCCACAGTGTTTTTTTGCTCTTCTTTTGGTTTGTTTTTGGGGATTCGCCATTTGAGTTTGGGGAATCCGAATGCCTTTTGTGTGGATTCTCGTCTTTTTTTTCGCGCAGCCTGGAGTTGGCGTGTGATTATTTATAGATAGTTTCCCCCGGCATACGTTTGATATACGTTTCTATTGTTGTTTTTTTCTGGTTCGGCTTACGCCATAGATTCGGACGTGGCTGCGGTCCGTGCGTATGAGTGATTTTCAGCCTCTATATAGGTCTTTTTTCTTCTCAAAACTTTTTTACTGGCAAAATGCCCGACATTACGCAGCTGTGTAGGAGACCCATAAATTCCTCTAACCCCTAGCGAAATATTTCTCATGTAATTTACATAAATATAGTTTATAAATTTAAACTATAAAATAACTTTAAGCAGATGCTGAATCACGTTTCAGAGGCAGCAAACGGAGAACAAAAATGTATTTAGGGGCAAATTTCCATTCGTAAATCAGTGCCTGACAAGACCGCAAGACATGACATGTTTGATGGGCAGAAGTTTTGTTGAAAAGTTCTCAACATTTTTGTGTTCGTTTTTATGAAAGTTTGAACAGTCTCAAGAGGGGGAACGTTGCGATCTTTGCCATCAAATTCGATGCAATCGTTGTTCAAGTGATATTCTTTATGCATCTGTGATCTTTGCATTTGCAACACATGGAAACTGCCACATGGAATGAACTTTCAATTAGCCATAACTTCCATCTTATAGTGATCTTTCAATCAGCCATAACTTCCACATGGAGTGGGTTATTGGCGATGACAAATTTAAGTGTGGATCTTGGTCTTTCGTTTGCATATGTAAACCACATCGAGTATCCGGCCATATCGAATGTCATTCAACAACAAACAATAAGCTCTCTTCTGATGCTTATGTTTCCTTTTGTTATTTTTGTTTATATTCCACTCCACGCCAGAGACAAGTGTTGCCCTTTGCGTTGTTCGATTGCTTCAGCAGTTGGTCGCCTGATCTGCTTCATATTATTCGGATGATATTTTCAATGGCGTCAGCAACGGAAATGATGCATCCAGAGATCTACACAGCCTATCCCCCACGCATCCTCGAATTGTAGAGAGAGAGAGAGACAGGGGGAGCTTTTCTGTATAAACAAATATCATAATTATATTCGCTCCCCCTTTAAAAAGAAACAGACCTAAATTCGACATTTCACACACAATTTGGTTTATTTTTGCTTAATATCCGCCAAAAACAAAAAAGAAACAAAATTCGTGGCATGAAATAGAAATTGAAATTGAATTGTGGGAGAGGGCTGTCTAATTAAATTAATTAATTAGCAAAAAAAAAGCTGAATTGCTGATAAGATTAAACAGTTTTTCGTATGTCGATGAATAAGCGACAGTCGAATGAGTACCAAGTGTTGGCAAGAGCTTTAATGGATCATAAAATAGTGCCAGCAAATGGGGTCCAGGAATGCCTCAGACAACCAACAATTACTCACAGATAAGACCTTTCTTAAGTCAGCTTGCCAAGAGCTTTGCTAAATGTACAAATTGTGTGGATAATTATCATTGTAATGAGCCTCTTCCGCTCTGCATTGAAGTCAACTTTTGAGCAACGCGTGGGAGCTGTATGCAAATTTTATGAATGAATAAAAAGTACGTGCATAAAAAAGGCAAAAGAAAAGGTTTAGAAAAAGTGCCAACAAATCGAATAGGAATATTAATCTTGAATGCTAAGAAAGTTGTCCATATAGAAGTATTTTAGAGCCACAAAGATCATGTCTTCAAAGAGTTTACAGCCTCTCATCCATGCCCATGAGAGACCAACGACCCTCTTAGCTTAAGCTCCAGTTAAGATCATATATTTCTTGTATTTCTAGTTGTCATGTAAATGTGCGCTGAGGTCGTTAAAAGCTCACACAACTATCAGTCAGATACAAACGCAGCCACAAAAGATCGTTAAAGTTTCTCGCGGACTATTTGTTCGCTGTCTTATCTCCCAAAAGACCTTTCAGACCTAATCTTATCTTAAGTTTCCAATGAATCAAGTTTCCCCTGTCCTCTCAGCTCCCACTGCCTACCCTTTAAGTGCAAATAAAACATAATGTTTACACATAAATTATCTTCGATTCCGTTTAAGCTGTTGAGCAAAAAAATAGAACTAATCTTTGTATTTCCTTTTTGCTTTTTTGCAGACTGTTCAGACCACTTGGCGGCCACAATTGCCGCTGCCCAAGGAGCTGCAGCTAACAGATGAACGGCACAACGATACGAAACTAATATCCACCAAAGCGGACATTCATTATACCCAGAATTACGAGGAGAACTATCAGCCAGCAGCAGGAGCAGCAGAGGAGGAACAGGAGCAGGAGCAGCAGCAGATGGATCGATTGAGGGGCAATCATGGTGGGAGCATCGGAGGCTCCTCCCAGCAGTTGTCCCACAAACAGAAATGGTCCTTTGGCCGACTATTTCGAGGCAAGAAAAAGGATGCAGCAGAGTGCAGTCCGTCATCCAGTGAGGAGGATCGCAAGGCCGGCTTTGTGCCCACCCAACGACAGTCGACGGGCAGTGGCAAGCCCAAGGGAAAGCCAGGGAAATCCACTGCCTCCAGAGGCAGCAGCAGATACGAGGAGCAAGCGCCGCCACCGCCACCACCACATCCCTCCCACTCCATTGACAATGAGTTTTTCCTGCCAGTGGAGACGATACAGCAGCAGCCGGAGCCGTATTACCAAAATCAACCAGGACCAAGCTACTACCATCGTTCGATGAGTAATTCGTTGGACAGACGGGGACTCATGCAACAGCAGCTACAGCCACACCCACAGCACATGGCTGGCAAGTCCCGCTCTGCGCAGAGGAAACCCCCGGGCGTGCATCACTCCAGCGCCGAGGAGGAGCTGATCTCATTGAACTCTTCGACCTTCTCCAAGTACCGCAGCGACGAGAGCATCCACAGTGGCGGGCACGCCCTGATGCAGGGCTCCGCTCAGTCCCAGTGCCCGTCGCAGTCGCAAAACAGTCGCCGCAGTCGTGCGGCACGCAACGAACGCTACTACAAGCGACTCTCACGCGATGGAGAGCAGAGTCATGGCGGTGTGCCACCGCTGCCCAATTCACAGCGCTACAAAACGCAGCCACTGCCGTTGTCCATCTATCAGCCGAGTGCCGCGTATGTCCAGTGGCAGCCACAACAGCAGCCGCAGCAGCAGCAGCAGCAGCAGCAGCAGCAGAGGCCGCTGCAGAATACGATTCAGAGCGATGGGAAGCGCAGCATCAGCTACGACAGTCACATCCATTTGCAGAATGTGAATGGCAGGATGCAGAGCAAGCCACTGCCACCGCCGCCACCACCACGTGATCCACTGCGACGTGTGCATGCCGTGGGCTCCAGCTCGGGCGATTTGCGTCCCGTTTCCTATGCCTTTGATCACAGTGGAAGGTGTGTGTCGGACGATAGAATATGGCAGCCAGCGCCGCACTATCAATCGGTGCATTCATTGAACTCTCAGCCCAGCTCCTCGATAGCCAGTGCGCCGCCAGTGAGCCAACAGCAGCATCATCGACGCTTCATCACTCGCTCGGAGCGGAATGCCAATCCTGGCAAGCAGTCCCTACCAAATGGCATTGATTTTCACTACGTGGCAGATGCCACACCGCGCTCCCGTAAGCCCATACACATGATGGAGGCGGACAAGCAGGAGGCAACACCACCCTCCAGTGGAATGCTGAGAACCTCAAAGAGTGGACTACCCACAGCAGCGGCAGCGGCTGCACCACAGCCCATACTCAAACCCCGCTCCATTTCCAGCTCCCGTTTGAGCGAAATGCGTGGCGGATATCCCATGCCCATGTATTCGGAGGTGCTGAAACCCAAGAGAACGGCGGCGCCTGCTCCCGCTGTCAATGCGCTGCCTGATCAGGATACTGTGGTGTGCGGCAGTCTGCAGATTAAACCAAATTATGTGGAAATCAGGCATCGAGATGTTGTACACAAGACCAACTCCATGCCGCATCATTATCAGCGTAGATCTGGCGAGGATTTGCCCAACAAATACGAGGAATATGTAGCGGAGAAGCGAGAGCAACACCAGCAGGCACCACCGCCAGTCTATCCCGAAAGAAAGCAGAGCCTGCCCGCTGCGGCGCCTGTGTATTTCCCACGCAAGAAGCCAGCCAACTTGGAGGAGGCCATCAATGAGCTGGAGGCCATTTACAAGAGTCTGGGACTCACAGAGCCACAGGAACCAAAAGCAGAGATGCCACAGATGGAGCCTCCTGCCGCGCCCAAGCTGCGTGTGCCCACTCCGAGTGACTTTGAGAAGTTCGCGCTGGCCCATGCGGATGAGTATGATGATGAGGACTCCCCCACAGGCGAGCCAGATCCAGTGCGGGATGATGTGGCCTACAGGAACTTGCAGCTGGCGAATCTGCAGCATCGTTCGTCTGAGCGGCAGCCACCGTTTGGCATACCGGTGGGTCCCATTGTGCCTGCCCCACAGTCGGACTATCTGCACGTGGAACCCATACGAGTGATCAAAAAGAAGAAGAGCACCTCCCCGGACATCGTGAAGGACGATCTGGCAGTGCGTGCGCTGCGCAAGGATCCGCCAGGACCCAAATCAAGCTTCCACTATCCCATGCAAAAGAAACAGCGAGCCACACGGACTCAGTCCGCGAATATCTACAATCTGATCCATCGAGATGCAGCCAAACCATCGGGTGGAGATCTCAGGAGCTACATGGAGCTGACCAAGAGCATTGAGCGAGCGGGCAGCATGTCGAATCTGCAGGCCGAGGCCACCAGTGACATACCAGCGACGTTGGATCTTCTGCGAAAACTGAAAGCCCAGGATGAGGAGATGGAAGCGGTGCAAAAGAAAGCCCATGCCATACCCTTTCGTCATCCCAGTCAGGGCGGTGCCATTGCCCATCTGCCAGAGCGTTTGATCAGCAAGGAGGAAGCACCCAAGGCACCGCCTGTGGCCGCGCCACGAAAGAGTCTCACACCGGAACCGCACCTCGATGATGCGCTGAACAAAATCGCGCAGGATGCCCAAGCGAGCAGCCTTAAGTTGAGCCAAGAACTTCATGAACTGCGCAGGGAGGCGCTGATAACAGCAGCCAGGCCCAAACTGAATGCCGAACAGCAGAAACTTGAGAATGAACTGCAAGAGATCGATGCCGTGTCCAAGGCGGCCAAGAGATGCGGCCAAATGTTGCTGGACAATCTGCCCGATGCGGGACAGGAGGAGGAATACCAGATGCAACCACAAAGGAAGCTCCACAAGGAGGGAAAACTCATACGCGCCATAGATGAGGTGTCCGAGGCGGCAAATGCCGTGTGCGAGAAGATCCTGAAGGATATTGTGACGACAGAGCCACCCGTGATAGTCCATGAGGCGCGGCAGGTGAAGCAGCCCACAGGAGCAGCCCAGACGGAGCATCTAGTGATGCCGAACCTCATCAAAAAACTGGATCCCATACAATCGGAGAAGATGGAGCATATTGCGCGCCGCTGCATGCGGCAGCTGAGCGAACTGGCGGAGGCACCGCAACCGGACTACGATAATCTGCCTGCTGCCTGTAATATAAACGCTGCACCAGCCACCGACGCTGCTGGGGCTGATGCCACTCTCATTTCTACCGTTCCAGAGACGCTCGAGGAGATTGACAAAATAATGCAGGAGTGTGAGCGTCAGGCGAAGGGCAGCACAGCGGGTTCAGGCTCCACCACCGATGATCAACGCACCACTGCCCCCAGCATAACGAGTGGCAGCAACAGCAACAGTCACAGTGGAGGCGGCAGCAGTTGTCCACCGAATGTGAGCACCACAGCGAGCTCTTTCAGCAGCAGCAGCGATTGCTTGGCCAAATCATCGAGTCCATCGACTGCCAGTCGCCTATTGTCCTCGAGCATTACCTCTTTCAATCCGTATTCCTCGAGCGATTACATCAAGTCACAGAGCAGCGATTATCATGCACCCAGCACCGATCCCATCAAGACATTCAGCACCACATCGTACGATGTGCAGTCCACCACAGCGAATAACACCACAAATAGCACCATGAGCACTACCAATAATACGAATACGATCAGCAGTTGCACCACAAACCTACGGGAGACAAATCCGGAGACAACCGCCTCGTGCTCCTCCGTGTCTCCACAGCCGCTGCAGCTGACGCCCGTGCGAGGCACATCCTCATCGCCGTCGCAGTACAACTCCAGCGAGGAGCTGGCTGCCATTTTTGGCATCGAAGAGCAGCCCAAACAAAGGAAGAATCGACAGCAACAGCAGCAGCAGCAGCAGCAGCACACAGGTAAAGGAGATGCCCAAGGATCGCCCGCCGCTGCCCGCAGAGCCTCCACAGCCTCCACCGCCTTCGCCTCCGCATCCGCCACTACTAATGCTCCCGCTATGCCCCCAGCAACAGCTACTACCTCCTCCGCTACTAATCGAGTTTTGAATGTTGCAAGCGATGTTACTACCAGCCCCACATCCTCAAACACATCCTCTAATGATAGTGCTAGCAATTGTAGTAGTATTTGTAATTATAAGCTAGAAACGATACCCGAACAAGAGCAGGATGTGGATCAAGACATGGAGGATAACTCCTTAAAGCTTTCGCCCAACTTTAATCGCATCTACGCGAGTAAAATTCGCATTGTGATGGATGACGAGCAGCCACTGGTCTTGGAAGAGGAGGCAGAGATATCCACTCTTTCAGAGGCAGTTGTTGACGTGGAAACCCACTTTGATTCATTGAGTTCTCTAGAGGAAGAAGTCTCTTCCAATCCCGACTCTGGTAATGTTAGCCTCACAGACTATCCATTGGGTGGGAATCAAAATCAACATGCCAATGCCTCGCTGGAACTGCAGACAACCTACAACAGTCGCTTTGAGGTGCGCGAACACTATGTCTCAGAGGTGTCCATCAGTGCATCAGAAGAGTCCACCACCGATGAAGAGGAGCAAACGGATACGGACAAAACAGTGAGAGTTCGAGATTTGAATGCTAGGGAGGATGGTTTTCCACGTTTGCCCACAGAAGAAGAGCTGCTAGAAAGCCTGAGAGAGGAACTTGAACTGAACGAAAGAGCTGCGGAGAGTGTAGAAGTTTCTGAAGAATTTAGTGGGGTAACAGAGCTAAGAATTGAGGAAGATGCTCTCACAGATGATAGTCTTGAGGAAGATATTGTAATTGAGATACAAATTAGTTCAAGCGAAGCAACGGATACCGAAGAATCTGAAGAAAGTCTGGAAAGTGATGTGCAACTTGACGAAGCCATTAGTCTGAGCGAAGAGGTTTACAAATTAGCGTGTGAGACATTAAAGATACAAGAAATTACACTGGACGAAAGAAAATTTGACGAAGAAACACTTAACGAAAGAAAACTGAACGAAGATACAATTGACGAAAGTGAACTGGACGAAGAACATCTTGACGAAAAAAATCTTAACAAACAAAAATATGACGAAGAACAACTGGACGAAACCTTACTAAATGATTGCAGATTTGTTTTGGAAGAGGTAGAATTAAGCTTGAAAGAAACTGAAGAAATACTAGAACAGATAGAACCTAACGCAACCGAATTTAACGAATTGAGTCTGGACGAATGCGACTCTGTCATGCAGTTCCCACGCCACAAGAGCATCGTTTACGAGACCCCAGCACTCAACCTAAGCATTTCCGAGGTGAAACTCAATTATGAAACCAAAGTGGGAGAAGAAATGGAAGCAGAACACCAGACACCAGTAGCCGATGAAGCCAACCAATCGATCGACAGCGAAAACGATGATGATATACCAATTAACGATACTTCAGCACGTAATGAGAATGAACCGCTGGAGAAGCAGGGCAAGAGCAGTGGCGATGTAAGTGAGACGCGCAAAGGACTTCCGGCGGCGGCTGAGGAGGAGGAGGAGGAGCAGCCAACCACCAGCTCCAAGGCGCTGTCTGTCTTTGGTGAAGTACGCACTGTGGCACCAGCAGAAGGAGCAGCTGCAGCAGCAGTTGGTGGCGCCGCGGCACGAGGCGGTTTGACAACACTCGAGCACGTATTTGTCGCCTGCACCGTGGGCCTGATTACACCCAACGATTTGCTCACTTTGTGCCTGATTGTAATTGGTGTGATTATCATTATTGCAATTGCTCTCGCTGCCTGAGAGAGATGTGATCATTTCCACATGCACACTTACAGATTGGTTGTGTGTGGCTGCCACACGTTACTGTTGTTTGTTGAATTATGAATAATTATATTAATTTTTATATATATTGTATATGCCAGATACCGCCACAAAGTGCACTTACAAAATTTCCATTTATTATAAATATCTAAAGAATTATGTTTTAGTTTAAGTTGAACCAAAAGTATTCTCAATTTCTAAAATAAGTTGTTTCGAACCACTGTGCAAAAACGTATTTTGTTTTTGGTTTTCATTCATCAAACTTAACAGAGGCAAAAAAAAATTTAATTTTTTTATAACAGCTATTTCCTTTGTTTTCTTACTTAATTAATTGTTAATTTTGACTGCAACTTGTGCCAATGATTTTTTTACATGTATGTTTACCCTTAATTAAATAATTAATTTAACCACATTGTGTACACTTTCCATTCTTAAATGTTTAAGCAGCTGAAACGCAAACGAAATGCGGTACAAATTACTAATCATGAAAATCTATTCTCTCTCTCTCTCTCTCTCTCTATAAATCTCTCTGTATATTTTCAGCTCAAAATTTATTAGTTTAAGTTTATCTTGTCAACGAAACATTTACGTAGAATTCATTTATCGCTATTATTTTTAAATGTTGATAAATATATGATTTAACCAGATAAACGAACGAATGCGCAGAAGCCATCAAGCATATATTTGTAGTTTTTCTCCAGAAGAGGAGAGGCCACAAATAAAAATGTTGTTTATTAAAGTCTAGAGTGCTGACTGTTGAATGGTGACATGAGGCTAGGTCCTGGATCGGATGCTAAACCGGGCACTGAAGCAGTCTAAAAATTCTGCCCTACCTGTAAACTAGCGTCAAACTTCACAAACTTGCCGTCAAATTTCCTAAAACAGCCTAAAAACCTGACGGCTGGGGGCGCCAGTGTACAATTTGTGTGGTTTTTGTCTTGGTTAAAGTTTGAAAACTTGCTTGTGGTGAAAGCTTTTACATGGCCGCAAGCGCCATCCATGTATGTGTGACAGCAGAAAAGCTTTGTAGATTCTTTTTGGTGGTGGAAAAGTTATATTTGAAAACTATTTAAAACAAATCCCCCCAAAAACCTAATGAGCACCGCACCCAAAACTTAATTTAATAATCTTCTACCTATCGCACCCGTATATCATATGCTCCCGGCTATAATTCCAATGAAACACTTCGTCTAGACATGGAAAAATGTTTTTTATTTGTTGTGGGAAAAACATGTTGCCAATACCCACAACCAAATAGAAAAGTTCAACATATCGAGTGCCCCAAAAACAAATACAGAACCATATTGATGGATTGAGGAACGGATGGATGAACCTCGAATTTACCATCGAATGGGATTCTGTTTGCTGCTTGTCTGCGCGCCCTAGGACGAAACCCCAACAAAACGACAGACAAAGAACATTCATTCATTCACTCAATTCCTAAGAAAAAAAAGTGAAAAAAGGTGTAAAAAGAAAAGGCGCTTAAAGCCAAAAGTCGTCTTATGGCAACAACAAAAAAACAAAAACAAAAAAAAGGAAAGTCTTGTCCTCATAATGGAACCTTCTCAAAGTTGTCTTCGTGCTTTGGCACTGGCACTTCGTACGTCCCTCCGTCCTGTTTTGTCATGTTGTGGCATAAAAAGGACATTCAACTGCAGGTCGCTTGCCCTGATTAAGGAGCCTCTTCGAGTGAGAGATAGAGACAGAGATGGAGGCTTATTGTTATACACTTCTTGCTATGGTGTGGGTGTCTCCTACTTGTTTCTTTTTTAACTTTTTTCCTTAATTATGTTCCGCCTTTGCTGGCCTAATGAGGCGTAGAGTTTCCGACGGGGAAATTCAAAATGTTTGAGCGAAAAACTCTTGTGGGAATTCCAAGCTACAATTTTGCTTTATTAAAGATTGAACTCCACATCTCATTCCCTATTTCTTTTAAGATTAAACTCCTGTCTAGCTTTCCATTTAAATTCAATTTGCTTATCCAAGTTTTCTTTTCTTTTGACTTTCGTTTTACTGAGTTTTTTCTTGAAAAATCTTCGATGCTTCGATGGAGCTTTTGCCAAGAGATTTATGTCCTTCAAACTCTTTGGAATGCCACAATCTAATTGAAAATTGGCCCTAGCGGAAGTGACTCTTTAATGGAAAATTCGTTTAAGGCTAAGAAAATGTCCTGCCACACACAAAGAAGAGTTCATTTACCCTCAGCAGGCGGCGAGCATTGCTCTCGGGGCACCACACACACACACTCCACAGAGTCCACACTCTTGGAGGCTAACTAGCAATAAAAATGTCACACGGCATTAATTTGTTTTCTGTCTGCAAAGGCACGAAGGCACACCAAGGACCTCAAAATGTGTGGGGAACAGTCAAAGTCAGAGACTGAGAGAGGCGTCGCTGTCATAAATAAACGAAACGAAACCACATGTGTGGCAGCAAGTTTTGCTGCATGTTCTAGTCGCTTCTAGTGCTCCTATTCCTCCCCTATATCTCCTGAAATAATCATAACTCACTTAACCCCATTAAATGTGGAAGGAACCCCCTCAAAAGTGGCATGGCAAAAAGAGGCTACCACCCAGGAAAAAGAGGCTTCAAACAGGGAACCCTTCTGTCATAAGGAACCCTCCTTCGTACGAACGATATGCACTTCAGGCCTGCCCCACTAGCACTTCACTTCAGGCTCCTAGAGGATGCGCGTGTTATGTTTCAGCGGCTGCTGCTCCATTGACAATGTCCTAATATCCAGCCCACCCACTGACTTGCTCACGCGTTCATTCGATGGATAATTACTATCACAAAAGGGTGGTGCCGGTGCTCCCCTCTTTATGGAGCAGAAGTTACCCACAGCAGATGTGTGTGAACATTTTGTGGTCTCTCGATGGAGAGGCGGTCAAGTGTGAGTTGGCCTGGGCTGGCGTTTGTTTTGTCGTGCAGCTTGTTGTGGTTGCACTCTCCAAGACCGCCCTGCATGCATGCACCCCACTCATTAATGGGAGTTGCAATAATCAAATGGGGGCAGGCCACACAAATTTTACAGTCGAGAACTTTGACAAACATAATTTTAAAGCAAAGCGATGGAGCGGGGAACTGTGTTTGGGGTTATGGCTGCTGTTTTTGGGGGGTCAGGCGGCAACT